ATCATTCATTACAAATAAGAAAAAAAAAACAATGAATGTCGCTTGCTTGATGATATACTTTGTCTTTTATTCGTTTCTGGCGTAGTACATTCCGTTTCGGTTACATCATTTGGTGTCCAATTTTTTTTGAGGTATAACCCCAAAATAAGGGCTTCATTACTTTCACAGCTTGAACGGTTCCGGTTCAGGTTCGAACTCCTCGCACACCGCGCAATCCGCTTGTGTAATTGAAGTCGAAACCTAAGGGGATGAAATGCCGGAACGCAACCTAATTATGATTGATGAAAATGATTATTTGATTTTCCCATTTTAGTTAGTATAAATTATAGAATTTGTTTTTGTAGAAAAAAACCCGAGGAAATTTGTCACCCGGCGCATCCGCCTAAATGAACAACTCGGGTTTTGCTACAAAAATCGTTTTTTTTTTCCTGTCTGCAATCGATACACCCCATCCCTTAAATTACATTAAAAGCTTTCAATTTGCTACGGCTCTCCGATTTCTCTGTTTGCCATCTCCGATTCGCAATATTGATTCACAAATGCATACACGCACAAATATAGTTTTTATTTTATTTTTCCTGTTGTTACGTTAATCCGCTTTGCGTTCCCCGTAATACAAAAGCAAATACGAATTTGATTTAACCCGAAAGCAGTTCACTGTTTAATTAATGGCATTTGTACGCTGCGTATTGATTCAATTGATTATGCAACGGACCGAAGCCATCATATTATATTATGCATGTGCACATACTCGGGCTTTCAACATTTTCGCAACATTTTGCTCAGCAAACAGAAGTTCTGCAAATCCAATTGTGAACTTTACGAAATTATTTACATGAGCGGTATTCTCCGTAATGCGGATTTACGTGAATAAAATCCCATTTCAGTATTTTTTTTTATATATTTCTATTCGCAGTTTCGTTCACTCCGCTTTTTCCATTTTAATTAAGCCTCCATTTTAATTAATCCTCCAAATCGAAATGAGAAAAAAATGTCAATAGTACACATTATGCGATATTACAAAAAAAAACATCAGAAGTGTAATTGCTGATTTCAATCAACTTCACAAATTTAATGATTTTAGCAATCATTATTTAAAAAAAAATCGATTTCGAGAAACGATTTTTTTTTTTAATTTCCTATTATTTCATTACATTTTCAACAATTACTCTAAATCGAGTATTTCTTAAACAATCCAAGTATATTTATATCAAAATTTTATTTGATTCCTTACAGTTACGGAAAAATTGATTTCCACTGAACGCGTTTTCCCAAAGGGATTCTGATTCCTTTCACCGGGAAAGCGCATCCGACAATTGTTATTTTCATTCCCTTGACGCGATTCACTCTAGTAAACATGTCGCGATATAAAGGAATCTCAGATATATTAGTTTCAACAAATACGTTTCGATGTTAGCATGAAAAAGGATGAATATATTGAAAGAGAGAAGCTTAAAGTGATGTCAATGGAAACGCTTGAAGTGAAATCGAATAACTAGCATTGAAGTCAACAATGAAATGTGCATTTCCATTCCATGCATGGATTCCCTCTCATCCTTGAGCATTCAAATTCATCACAGCTTCTCTTTTTCCAATTTTAATAACTGAATTCCTCATAAATCGTTTCTCTTGAGTTTATACCTTCTTCTTTTGGAAGAACCTAAATATCACTATTATCTTTTAATTTGTTAATTACTATTACTATTTATATCTTACTATTTAGATACAAGTTTAGAAAATTCTATATCTAAAAGTCGTTTTATTTTATCATTTTATCTTTAATAAATCTCGATGTAGTCGTAATTTAGTTAACTACGAATCGACAATTTTGTTATATTGTTTTTAAGTTATAAGAAAAGCAAATAAGTTATTATAGCTTATTGCTATATGAATTATCATTTAAAAAATGTTAAAATGTTAAATGCAAGTTAAATTATCTTATAGTTATTTGTATATATGATATACATGTAGATTAGTAGAATATTATATTTCGTTTCGTCGATTTCGATTTTTCTATAATAATTGCTAAAATCTAGTATTACTATGAAATTTCATAATTACAAGTTAATCTTTAAATATGTAAATTGAGATTGTGATGTTTTTCGATTTGTTGTTCGCATGGATGAGCGTTCGGTGAACATTTGATACGCAGCATGAATATAATCAATAATTGATTAAAGCTCGGATTAAAGGAGAGATTGTTGACTTTGCCCGGAGGAAGCTGCAGTGACATCAGATATTGATCATCGCTGTGACAACAGGAATCCAATCAAAATTTGAATGCAAGTGAGAATATCTGCACGTGTTTTGAACGGATTTATTAGAGTTAAATTGAGTTTTCCGACTGTAACTCAATCCCTCGAGATGTATGTGAGAGAAAAAGGCTATGTTAGAAATTTGCAAATTTCCCCGAGGAGTTCGATTACATATGCATGTTAAGAGTGTAAGGAAGCCCCAAGAGGTAGACGCGAAATACAACTACCTTCATCACGATATTAAACAACACACTATTAACAAAATCTTCATATTTGTATATACATAAATATTAGTCAGTTTAAAGTTTTAATTCAGTCCTGATCCCATGACAATCAATGATGATGAACGATCATGAATGATTTTAGATATATCACGATTGCCACTTCCGGTACCAACCACAACTAATTTTGTATGCTTTCAAAGGCGGTTTTGCGATCATTACCCAATTGTGTCTGCATAAGTCTATAGACATTGTTGAAAATTTTTAATAAACCCTTGTGAAAAGGGATTTAAATTCCCTAATACTGACTGTTTGCGTGTGGATTTGCAGCAGCTCCCCTTTATAATAAAATATTGATTCCTCGGAAACTTAATTAAGTCCAGATTGATCCTAAACTAGGATCGACCGTAATCCTCCTTGTTTCCATCAACAATCTCTTATAATTAGGATTTTGAAATGACAGAAACTCAGCGCGGATTACTCTGACTTTAAATTAACAAACTTTGTAATCATTGTCTTTTCATTCAATTATTGTTATAGTTTCAATGTTATAACCTTCCACATACACAACCATTATTATTGATCATAATTGAACTTTAATTAATGTAACTTCCCTTTTGTCAGCAGAGTTTGCATATTTATTTCCGTTTTGGTATAGGGATGAGTTACAACTTCCACCCTTTTGCTTCCACGTCGAACAAGCCGAACGTAATTGCATATTGATCCCTTCACCTCATTCCTAGTTGATTAACTATACACAGCGTAATTTGCAATTCGACGCGAAAAAGCAACAAAAGAATTTTGATAATATAACACGAAAAACCGAACGGTTTCTGGAGTACGTCCTAATAAAACGTCTTTCATACCCACAGAATCCGATCAAAATGAAACAACCGCAGCGAACGTACCGAAGTCATAATAGTAACAAAATTAAATTAAGCGAAAAGCGTGTAAATTTAGAAAGGCGTTCAAAGTGAGGATAAGGTCGAGGTCATCTCAATGTCGTCCTATCGGAATATTTTTACTGTCTAATCGATTGCTTATAAATTGCTCATCTGATTGAGAGGATTCATTAAAAAAATATATATATTTAGAAATAATCACATTGTCAATTTCGTTTATCTCAACAATTTTATATTTTTTTTTATAAAATCTCCTATTACTCATGGATCGTAAAAATACACTCGAAATCGATGCACGTGCCATTACATAAATTCCTGGAAACGACAAGGTTGATTTGCGACGTTTTATTTTTATTTTCTTATTTTATTTCCGAAATTCTTGATTCATATAAAAATTTATAATTTTTCATGATTTCACATGAATCGTTAAATTTTATATTATATATTGAAATTAAGAATATCCAAAAAAATAATAGTAAAGAAAAAAAAATTTCATTCGGTTTATTAATATGTTTTGTCAAGAAGAAGCCTTTGAAAACAGTCTATGAAATAATGGTAACAATGGGTTAGAAGAGTATTACTTGAAGCCCTATCCAACCCTATTCAAGAAATATGTTCTAAAAAAGACCATTATGTAAATTTGTTCAAGATTTATTTAATAATCTTGTAATATTCCAATTTCATTAATTGATTCATTTAATAAGTCAATAAATTTATATTGAAAAAAATAAAGTAAATTTGAACAGCGTGATTCTCAAACTCAATTATGTGATTCGCAAATTGTCGATTTCGATAATTGCAATTTCGATGTACGCCCATCAATTCGAGATATTAATTACTATCCGAGGATAGAATTTGCATTGCACGTACAAATTTTCCGCAAATGTGAGGTGTCCAGTAATTAAGGTGAAAAGTGAATTCAACTACGCAGATCACTCATAATGAACAAAATTCAATTAAAAGCAACGAACTGCGATAAAATTAATTAGCGCTGCTTTAATTAAAACTGTCCGAATCGACACCAAAACCACAAACAAGCAACGCTGCTGCGGGAAACGAAGCATCGAATTTTGCGGTAATTGTCACAAATTAAAAGTGATCGTCGATCAATTCAATGATTCGTGATCAATTCGAATATTAAACTACCTTCTGCAACTAGGACGCGCGTACTTGCGCGAAATTTGATACTGCCGGAAGGGCGAACGCGCAATTTTCGGGTGTTACATAACTATTGATTTTGTAATAGCATGCAGAAGATGATGTGGGATCGAACAAAAAAAAAATATGATACACGCAACTACGAAGGAATGAAAGAAATTCATTCGTCGTTTAAATTCATTATCACCGTTTGTTTAATTGATATGATTCGTTGTAGGAAATAAACGATTTTTTTTTATTTCGTGAGCTTCTTGCATATCTCGCTGTGTGTATGTATAATTTTGTATGTGTGTGAAACCGAATCGATTAGCAATGCAAATTGCAGATTCGGTGATGTAAGTGCAATTATTCGGAATGACCGCAAAACCGCAACGTGATTTTTAATTACTTACTTGAAAGATCATAACAATCGCTGCATTAATACACGGATTGAATAATAGTAATTAAAAAGAAAAGAAGAGTTATTTTATTTAAAACACATTTATTATCCTATCCTAAGGGATACACGTACTGATACACATGCACGTATTTCGATACGAGCATATGCATTTATACGCGTACCAATTTTACTTTTTCAGAGTCACAAACTTACTTCATATATATTATATATCAGTTTATTTTTTGTTTGCTTCATTCGGTAATTTATATAATTCTAATATAAAAATTCTTCATTCCTCTATAAAAAGAACGCAAAAAAAACACCTCTTCTCTAAATGGGAAACAAATCAAATACGATTAACAACGATTGCCGTAATAAAATTCATACAAATAGTGTATATTTCGAGGTGGCGGGAAGTGGGCGAATAATAAATTGAACTTAAACCTTCGGAGGAGGCACGTTTAGCTGTGTTACATAAGACGTTGGTTTCTTCGAAGTTATATATTTATATATATATATATAAATACGTTATATCAATCGAAACGGCTAACACGATGATATTTCTTGTATAAATACAAAAATTTTGTGATCGCTTCTCCGAATGTAATAAGGCAGAATTTATGGTTTTCACACAGAAATGTAAACGTAGTCGATTTTGTAATGTTCAGTCCTTGTGGCCGAGGATACGGTTTATTCGGTACATTCCTGTGATTCAGGTTTGCTTTTGTTATTGGTGTCAACTATTCCATTTATTGAAACAAAACAACATACGCAACAAACGAATATCTGCTTTTCTGTGCTCTTGTCCGCTTTTCAAAATTAACCGAGTTTACTATTTTCCACTGCATTTCTTCTGACTGTATCTAGGAACTTGATTTATTTGACGAGGATATCCGTTTGCGCGTATGTTCGATTATACATGATGATATGGCTATGAACAACTTCGATGAGACAACTAGCATTCTTCTATAGTATCGTGAGTATTTCCAGCATTTCGATCGTTCTCATTCATTAATTCTAATCCAATCGTATTATCTTTTTTCTTTAATTTTCATCCATTTTCATTTGATAAATTTTAATTTTCTTTTTAATATAAGCGTTTTCTAATATCTAACAAGATAAGATAGATAGATAATCTTCTCTCAAATTCTTTCTCTCGTGAGCTGTCCCTCTAAGTATTGATTTTTTTCTATGAAATGTATATTAATTATATATTGCTTTTATCAGTTTTTTTTTTAAATATTATTTGAATACTAATCACTCTGAGGGTAGTTTTCTCTGCAATTCGGCAGGACGGTGCGTTTTCACAACTCAAAACGTGGTGCCGCTATTATGCTCTCAAAATACTTGTCGAATTCGTAGACAAAATTACCCCGTGCGAATATAACAAAACTTAAGAATCTTCTTTTTGTTCCACTTTGTATTTGTGTTGGTTTTGTCGATGCTGTTGTTGATGTTTTTGTTGTCTTTGAAGATGATGTGGTGGTGGTGGTGATTGGTGTTGTTGTACATTAGATTTATATCATTATAGAAATACACTTTAAGATTCTTCGCCGTCTTCGCGGAAGAGATAGGTCGACCAATAAATAACGTTGAAGAGAGCGAAAACTAAGGGAAAAGTGATTCTGGAGATGACGTCGATACGCTTGGACCTGGTGGGGAACTTTGATAGCCACGAGCGGCAACAATTGGGGCGATCCGGTTGCATGTGGATCTCGCATTGACGAACCTTATCTAGGCTCATGGGTTCCCCGGGGTGCCGCACCAGAGGTTTCTGAAAGGGCGCACAGGCATAAAGTCGAACAGATCGGTTTTTGTTGAGTTGTCTACTGACCATCGCGAAAGTGGCATTGCTGTCAGTGTCCATAAGGTCGGAGGTGGCATCCATGGAGGCGGCATGTTCGAGCTCACATTGCCTCTGCCTCTGTTTTTTCATGTTCTCGCGATGCATGTCAGAACGCGAGGCGTAATTTACAAGAGCAAACTCCAGTAATGCTCCGAACACGAAAGTTAGACAAACCCCCGTCCACACGTCGATCGCTTTCGTGTATGATACGGGTGGCAGGGAGGCGTTGATTCCGGATGTCTGTGTGGCCATTGTGAGTAATGTGGTTACACCTGGTTGCAAAGTAAAGTAAATCTCGATGTAAGCAATTGCTAATGGGGAGTGTTGGGATGACGCAGCAGCGGCACCCAGATGGGCGGTTTCTTACCTAAAGACACTCGAGCGGGTACGGCTCCTTGATCGAGCCAAAAAGACACCCACGACACTATGACAAGCATACAACATGGAATGTAAATCTGTATGAGATAGTAACTAAACTCCCGTTTAAAAAGTAAGTCAACTTTTAGACAACTGTACTCTCCTGTAAGTAAAGTAAAAAAAAATATGAAAGGCATGCAGATGAACCGCAAATTAGGGTAGGTTGTTCGATGGTTGGGTGGATAGTAAACGAAATTGACGACGCACCTGTGTTGGTCTTGCTGTTGCAGTAGTCAGTGAGGAACTTTTCCAGCGTGAAGCGTGGTAGGTGTAAATTTTTGACTACCTGAACGGGATCTCCTTCTTTCCAGAGGAACACCAGATCATCCGTGGTCCAGCCATCTATAAGGTGATTATCGAACAATGATAGGTGTGAACGATAGCGATGTCTCATACTTACAGCTGGCCATTCGCAGCGAACACACCTGCCTGTCAAGCGGGTACAGTTTCAGGTTCATGGGACATGATAAAGTAAGTGATATTCTACAATACAAGAGAAGTATGGATTAGATAATTAGGGTGAGCGACAGGTATGCGCGCTCCGACGCAAATGCAGATACCTTATGCTGTAGAGTACTGAGCCGTACGGGAAAATACGAATGTAAACGTTTGGCATAATGATGTTGTGAAAGTGGCCCTCTTTCTCGTTGGAGAAGAAGAGATCGGGCATCCATACTCGGTTCGCCTCTGTTAACGTAAGATACTTTATCCTGCCCCCGAAGTCGTTGAACTTCAACCTCTCATCCAACCATTGTTCACGAAATGTTAGTTGTACGCTATATTCCTGCAAGTTCCAGCTCGTGAAGGATGATATAAAACAATGCGACCTAGGAAGCCGTGCAAGCGCATGCAAGCATAGTGTGCATTTAAGCCAGCATTGTTTCGAGTGTTAAAAGAAGAATAACAATAAGAAGAAGTTATAATAGTAGTACATTAATAGAAGAATACATTGAATACACGAGAGGAAAACAGTGGCGATAGGAAGGTGATGTGTTGTATTGGTTGCAATGCAGTGCACGAGGAAACGGTGGATGATATCATAGGCATGCAGCATACGCCGCGTGTTAATCGTCGGGGCTTCAGCATGCTGACACTTTGGTGCTGGTGCCCTCATTGCATCATCGCCATTCGGTTTTTTGGCTTGGTGCAAGTGAACACAACCTGTCAGTCTGTCGTTCCACAAAAATGACGACATTTACATTTTTTCATATATACATATTAAAAAAAAATATTGAAATGAGTATAGTTCTTTTGTTGTGTATTATTTAATATATATAATTTGTGAGTGTATCTTACGTATTAAATATGGTTTAACTATCCAAGTATACCAAAGTAAGCCAATACTGGACGTGACTGGCAGACCGCGACTCACCATTTTGTAATCGTCTATTTTGCTGATAGAGCGTAGAAAGAAGTTGATCTTTACTTCGGTCGGTTCAGTTCCTACATGATGTGGATAAAAACAAAAAGTATTACTGTGTTGTGGAGCTTAAGTGGTTACGTGGCGCCAATCACATCTCGCATTGGCTCTGTTCCCATGGCGGCATGCAAGCATGGAGCTTACAGTTACCTTAACAACTTCACTTTCAGTTCAATCTTAACTTTATGTCAGTGTGAAATTAAAAAATCAAAGAAACGATATAAAACATACAATAATATTACAGACATCGAAAGCACACGTACGCCGTCCTCCCAACAGGTGATGACAGAATGGATCTAACTACCACCACCCACCGTTTATATGCAATATATAATATATGTTTATCTACAGTCACACATGCTAGGCCAGACATATACATAGCATTCGCTTTGCTCGCTAAGTATATGGCATACCTAGCTACTTCTGCTGACACCAACCACTTACCATGGTAACGTCATCTATCTTTGAGATACTTCTCATAAATATGTTGACCCTGACTTTAACGGGTCCATCTGGGTGGAAAAGGAAGCGAATTAGTGGACATAGACACCACGCACACATAGATTTGTTTCTTGAATGTTAAATTTGGTTCGGTTGCAATGAGGTACCAGGCACCAGCACGAGCGACAACACTTCTCTGAGACGCCAGCGACTATTTCCATGATATACTTTCCGCTATTATTTCTATTATTAATCTTATTATCTTTGGGTTGTTATTTCTTTACTTCTTTTGAGAAAAACAAAAAAATAATGAAAACAATACGAAAACGCATTCAGCAATCAACACTATATGACCTAAACAAGCTACGAGGGGTAAACGAGTAAACGCTGAAGTGCTTCACAGATTTCAATTTTGACCAAAACTCGTTACACCCCAAATGCCGGCTCTTGTAGCACCTCTACACTAGGTATTATATATATACAGGTATATATATAATTTGTAGCTTGTATATATATAATGATATAAATAAATATAAATAGGCTACTGAATAATCACGGAATACGTTGTTGACTTGCTCGCCACTTACCATCTTGATGTCACTAATCGTCGCAATGCTGCGTACAAACAGGTTTACTCGGACAATGGCTGGTCCATCTGGAGCGATGGACAAGACGTTACATTTAGTCTTATGTACATCAAGCACGACACACAAGACAGAGAGTTATTAAATCAAAAGAGAAGTGAGAAATAAAAAATAAAAAAAAAAAAACAACAAAATAAAATGAAAATAATTACGATACTGTTAAAGAAACAACTCTGCCAAACCCTAGACACACACCGATAAACAGTAGAGAAGTAGATTTTAAGAAGGAGCGTGGAAAACATCTCACCTGTCCCATTCAATCCGGAGGGCCGGATGCGGGCATCGTATCTTCCTGGACCGAGGATCTGATCCAAGACCTCCTTTTCCTTCTCGCGAAAGTTGATCTTCACGTTCGTGCACCTGGGGGAGCGAAATGTTGATGATGATGAGAATTGGTGAGAGCGTCGAGCGAGCACACGAGCGACTTACACGACCACGTGGACAACGTGCAGGATGATCAGGAAGAGGGTGTGTTTGTGCATCGCGAACATGCCTTCTCCCGTTGGAATCTCTAGTTATGTACTATGCCATCGACGCCGGGCCCCAGGCCTCCCTACACCCCCAAACTCGAGTCACTGAGTCATGGCCACCCCCTGTGTATTGCCTCCACAGCACACGTGAACAGGAACGGATCGCGGTCTCAGCAGCCCGTATCCACCGACGATCATCTACTGACTCGTATTCGCAAGAACAGACGCTGTATTGATCCGCTCTCCAATACAGAATGTGCTAAAGTGCGCACAGACGAGAGGCGCTGCCGGTGCCCGGGATATAAACGACGTCGGCGTCCGCGTCGTCGCTTCCACAAAACTTCCAAACTGCATCCCCCCCAATGTACTCTGTTCCAGCCAGTGCGATCCTTCTCCACCTCCATACCTCCTAACGCACATCCAAATTAATATCGCCCAACACTCGAAAAAAAAAAACAATCGATTACTCGTTACATGGAGGTAGAAGGTGATGAGACGTAAACCCTTCTATACATGCGTCAAATAATAAGTGAGAAAAGAAAAAAAAATCAACGAAGAACCAGTACCAAGTGGAGATGCATACATTTTCATCCTCCTGACGTCATTACAACTCACTGACGTCATATAGTCTGCAGTTGATTTCTTCCAATTTACCCCTCAGCCACCCTTCCACTTTTTTTATCCTTCTCTTCTACAACCCCTCCGACCAATACATTTCTAGATTGATGCAGGCAACGTAACTATCGAGCAGTACCAGCCGGTGCCGAATCCCCAGCCAATAACCCCTCGACATTTCCGTGTCCAAAAGCAATTTTCTGTCAAGAATAAAAAAAATACTAATGAAGAACAAGCCACTTTTGTTACGGATCCTCTTGGCCTGTAATTCAGCAATATAACCTGGTTCTTTTTATTTATAGAATCCCTCCGTAACTATACACACGGGAACAGTAATTCATTTGTCGCAAAGACTACTCACATCAGTGCCAGATAGCTATTTTTGTGATACCTCTATAAATACGCATGGTCGTTGCAAAACTAATATTTCTCACTTTATTTAAACAATCTGGTTTAAGTACATTTAAGCTAGGCTACGCAGCGAATGCGGTCCGCTCTACAGCATCAGATTCGCTTTCAATTCCATGGCCAGTTTGTAGCCAAGCTCGGGTCTGCGATCTCTGCCCTCGACCATCGCCTTCACCTGATCCGAATTCACGATGACGCCGTCGTTCTTGATCACTGTGTTCTTCGTTTTCTCTATATCCAGCAGATCGACGCCGCGGCTGCAATCGTCCAGCAGGATAGTCCTGTAGCCTATCGCGAGGGCATCGACCGCCGTCGCGCCTAAGGGACACATTCAATAATGCTCGTCGACCTTAAAGAGGGGTGAGGAAACAGGTCATACCTACACACACGTCGTAAGCCAACCCGCAGATATAGATGTCCGTAGCATTTTTGATCCTCAATTGGGCACACAGAGTCGTATCCGTCAGCTTCTTATTATCCCAAAACACAGAATACGAGTCCACCTCGGGATTCGTACCTTTGTACACCTTGATGGAATTATCGAGCATCTGAAAACAAGACCATTCATCATTTAATTTCCTTGACAATATTGAATATAAATAAATTAAAGTTTGTTTATATTGTCGTAAATGAGGTCAAGTGCAAATATTACAACTTAAAAGTCGAGATTTTAAATCATTAAAAAAAAAATATCAATGGGAATAACCACAGTAAAACTGGTATTCATGAGTTTATGCATCTGTATTGCAATGTGTAATCACTGAACTCCCATTGCCAAGTCTCCGAAACCAGGCCGTGCCAAAAATAAAAAAATAATAAAAGGAACAAAAGAATAACACCAGAAGACTGAAAAATAAATAAAAACGCAAGGAATGAATACACTTCGTCGTGCAGAAATAACACAAAACACATGATGAATACACATGCCTACCTCGAAATAAGCAGACGGAGAAGAATAATAACGCATACTTTCTTATTTTTATACTTTGAATCGCGTTTGATGACACAGAAAAAATGTATGCTGTCGCCGATTTTATATTTTTCTCGTGCAGCGAAGCCCCAATATTCATCGTAAACAAAACGGTTTAAACGAGAAGTACGAATACTGGTTTGAGCACTTACACTTTAATCATCCCCTATACAGTTTTGTGTCGGAGAAATACAATGGCAAAAACAGCGTTTGTGGAAATAGTATGCAAAATATTTGCAATTTCGCTCAAAGATTTCACTTTTACACGTTTTAATTAAGCGAGAAACATTTGAATGCAACACTTAATTAAATGATTTGTCTTTATCGAAATGCATAAAGTATACAATATTGAAAATTATTATTTAATAGATTTATTTGAAACACGTTTTACAATTAAATATTGAAACATGAAAGCTTTTAAATTATTCGAGCGGAAAACCATTATTGTGTCCAAAATAAAATACAATTTCGTTTGCATCTCGTTTCATACATAAACAATATATTTGTAAATTTAATATTTCATTTAAAATCCGATATTAATAAAAAAAAAATATTTCATTCATTTATATATTTTTATAGGTTTAATTAACTATAATTTGAATCTAAAGCTTACTACAAATTAGCAAATATTAAACAGTTTACAACTTCGAATAGACAGCTTATCTAACAATCATTTAACTATACGATGTGTATAGCCGGAGACAATTAGCCTGCGGTTAAACCATTATTCGATAGATTTCCGGTTCCGACCCTTACGACCGATTACAGCATACGTCAAGCGAAACGGTTTTAAATCTCTGAACATCTCAATTGAAAATTAATCGAAATACCTATTGAACCGTCATAATAATATTACGTTATTGATATAAAATCTGGTTTCTATTTATAAAATTCCATAATCTGACTTATGAATAAGTTATTTGCAGAAAGCATTATTATGTAAAAAAATATTATTAATTTTAAATTATTGTGAAGATATAATAAAGAAGAGAAGTGTGATATACAAATATCACTAATATTTATCCAAATTGTTATAATAAAAAGTTGTTTATTTTGTTTGAATCGTTGACCGCAATAATATTTTCATATTAAATTTAAAACGTGCGGTTTATGATTCGGAACAGCGTATTTAATATAAGTATAAGATAAGAAACGATATATCTCTGTCATAACATAGCTGTTCCTTCTATACTTATTTATTCAGTTTGCAATGTTTGTTTTCTGTACCTTTAATTCTTTGTGCAATTCAGATCCCCATGTATCCTGTACGCAATGCCTCGGCCACAACCTCTGCTTCATCGGCGGTGGTCCTGCGAAGATGACAGTATCATAGGTCTGTGCATTCTCTGCTGAAATAGGACTGGTGGAATGCACTGGCCTCTGTTTGATGTTATCAATGAAGGAGACGTGATCGCTCGGATGCCAATCGAGGGAATAGAAAACAGCATCGAAGTCCACATTTTCCAGAAGCCGATTAATAGGTTCGATAACATCAAGCCCATTTTGCTGGGCAGAGCAGTTGCTTATGTTCAAAGTACCGCTTATGAAATCGTTCTGAACATCGACGATGAGGAAAACAGAGATAGGTCTGACGATCTGTAATGAAAGTTTTGAGCATTGCGCGTACGGCAATTCGCTTCTAAAGCTTTACGATTTTAATCCAGTGATTCCAGCAGAATAGAAACTCTTCCTTGTCGATGAATCCATCCTGGTTCTGGTCAAATACTTTGAACACCTCATTGAGTTTATCCTCTTCTAGAGAGTAGATCTTGCCCTTGTCGTTACGGAACAAGGCGCGAGCAATAAGTCGAAATTCATCTATATCGAGTTTACCGTCGCTAGAGAAGCCAAGGAGAAATTTGAAATAATTGGAGTCGTAGTCTCGTCTGGAAGGGTTCATTAGCTTAACTCACCCGTTCTTGTCGAAGGCCGTAAAGCAAGCGTCCATGCTGCTCTCGAAATTAAACATCACTAAATGGATGGATGGGTACAAGGCTTGCTGGAGGATCGAGAATGGGTCACGTCGCGACCTGACACGGGGGCCCACCGAGGTATGGTGAAGTAAGGGGGTATTATAAGGGAAGGGCTCAGCGAAATTGCGCGCTTATTGATCAACGCAATCCATCAAACTATTCGATAAGAGTTACAACAACTATTTCCTGCTATTGTTGACGAGTATATCGCTGCTTTTCTCGTTCCTGCCAAGGACACTGCAATTCTGGACGTGCTATGCAAAAAAAGTAATCAGAATGAAGCAACAAAGTGTAATGAAAATTGAATGGAATCGGAGAGCTCGTACGCGCGGATAATACTATCGCGAAATGGTTTCCTTTAACGCGTATCGTTGTTCCTATTGCTTATTCATTTACAAAATTCAGAAGCCGGTTTTTCCCCGTATGACTAATCAATACTCCAGCACACAAATAACCTAGCAACCCAATATCCGCTCTTGTCGCCGCACATTCAGAAAAAATAAAATAAACATACGCGAAAATAATTACACATTTACCTTTTCCTATACTAAAGTAAACATCTTCGATTATTTAATAAACATCCAATATTCCAAGGCTGGATCAAGGATATCCAATAGGCAACCAAGTAACCGAATTCACCAAAAAAAATAATATTCAGCAAAACAAACACATGATAACAATTGGCGCGAAGAATACTTCTGCATATCAATTCATAGTTATATTTCGTTTGGTAATGCGTTTAAATAAAATTAGTAAATAAAAACTATGTGTTTCTAATTGATTAAAAGCGTGCATTGAACCTAAATCTAATAATGATAAAAAATAATTGCAATTTCATTCATTAACCAAAATCGATAACAAATTAATAATTTACACAATATTAAATTTTCAACTCACATTTGTATGCTTGTTCTAATCAGTTTTCACGCGTGATCGACTTTCTGATGGATACACGGTTATTTTTAAATTGCAACTGCTTAGAAAAAAATTGCGATCCGTTGCGAAATACGCGTTTCTATAAATAGCCGTAATCTTTTATCATATTTTCTTGTTTTTTTGATCGTAAACTGCATTGAGATTTATCTCTTCGCGTACTATTTGCAATATGTAAGCACTCCTGGCAATGTTTCAAAACGCAATCTCGGATCGGAAAGATTTCTTTCGAAATGATTCTTGCGATTACTCATCTTAGGTGACTTTCAAAAAAACAAACAAAAAAATACACAACAGAAAACGAGATTTCAACAGTCGTTCTATAATAATTATAATAATTTTTTATACAATAATAAATATGTTTATTATATAAATGTTATTAAAATACATTCTATAACATATACATTTAAAAATAAGGTAGAACCTCGCTTAATGAGCAAAATAAATTGTAAGAAAAATTATTCCCAAAATGGAACGCATTATCGCATATTACATTAGTTTATATGAGAAAAAATGTTTTACTATAGGAGTAAAAATCTGGAAATTTTGCTCGTTAAGCGTTGTTCCACTATTGTTATTTTTGTTAAAACATATAACGTTCATGCTTGATTGTAATGCTTTTGTAATATACACAATTTGAATAAAAAGAGCGCAAGGCATGACTCCAATAAATCAAGTATTGATGTAATAATGTTCACTGGGTTTGTATTTTATACATAGGCAATTCAAATCACAGCAAATATTTTCTGGCACACATAAAACATTTAACGTAGAAAACCATTATCACAATATTTTGCATATTTCCCAAACATAAAGCACACATGATTTCCTTAAAAAATACAATATTATTATTGTAGTTTATAAGTTAATTTTTAGATAGTACAGATACGTAACAGGGAATAGACGATTTTTGCTATTTTTATTCAGTTTTTCGTGAATTTCTCGAGAACCCTTCAAGATAATTGCATGATCGACCACACAATTTAAAGCTGAATACCTCACCTTTCCAATGAAACTATTTGTATCTTCGTCGAGTCGCCTGCTACGAGCTGTAGAAATTGGAAAAGAAGTGAATAGGATTTTCTTAAAAAATCGCTGTTTCGTTGAGATCCGAAGAGTTTTCACGTTTTTTTTCTTAATTACACGAAAATTACCCTTACTCAACTTTTTATGAAACAAATGGAATAAGTGAAAGACTGGATAACATTTCTAAATACTAGATACATTGAAAATACAGGAAGAACAAAAATGTTAAATTTTATCAAATTCCCAGAAAAGTATTTTATATAATTATCTTTTCGCTTATTTTAATCTCTGTATATTTTAGATCAACATTCATGTTCAACATTCTTCTAGAAGGAAGTGCTTACGAAAATACAGGCCATTTTAGAAAACGTTGTTTTCAAAAATATCGATAGCAGCGCCAAAGTTTGATAATTAATTGTGACCAATCTATGATAGCTACAAGTCTGCATTTATACAAATTTTAATCTCTGTATATTTAAGATCAACATTAATGTCTAAAATTCTTCTGATAGTTGGTGTATACGAAAATACAGGTCATTTTCGAAGATGTACCTTTTCCTACTCATTTGAGTAATACCAAAGTTTGTTAATCAATTATGAAGACACCATTGCAGCTCCAAACAAATATTTACGCTAATTTTAATCTGTGTATATTCAAGATCAACATCCATATATAACATTCTTCTGGGAGCTCATATTTACGAAAATACAGGTCATTATTTAAGACTTTGTTTTTCTACTTGTTCATCAAAGTTTATATGTATGTTTGGTTGCAGACTGTTTCCTGCATATTCCAAAAGATGTCTCTGTTTGTGTAAATTAAAACGCATAAAACTCGAAAAGTAATAAGCATTCGAACGATTAGACTAAAGTAATACCATTACATTTGTTCAAGCACTATTCTCACATGTTTATTTATTTAAATTAGAACGTTTCTAGGAAAGTGGTTTTTGTGCAGCGCCAAAATGCCTGAACTACAACCTTTGAAATATTGCTAACAGATGGCGCCAGCTATAACAAAAATGTAGCATTCATTTTGCGCCTAAAGTGCAGGCAACCAAACATACATATATAAACTTTGTTGAACAAGTAGGAAAACACCGTCTTAGATAATGGCCTGTATTTCCGTAAACATCAGCTCACAGAAGATTGTTATATATGGATGTTGATCTTAAATATACACGGATTAAAATTAGTGCAAATATTAATTTGTAGCTACAATGGTGTCTTCATAATTGATTAACAAACTTTGGTATTTCAGAAATGAGTTGGGAAAATAACGTTTTCGAAAATGGCCTGTATTTTTGTAAGCACTTGCTTTTAGAAAAATGTTGGACATGAATGTTGATCTAAAATATACAGAGATTAAAATAAGTGAAAATATAGATTGATAGTTATATAAAATACTTTTAGTCTCTTTCTGGGAATTTGATTTTATTTCAAAATTTCAAATTACAACCAATCAGGAACGACCGATGCTAGGAGCTGAGATACCTCCTCGCTACTCATAGTCTCCTGGTGCAAATCCCAATTTTCTGGCATTTTCAAGAATCATTTTCGGGGGGGGGGACTTGCGTTTTGATTCGTAACAACCACCAACTCATTAAAGCTTAATAACTTTCTTATTAATTGACCAAAACTAACGTATTTTATAGCAAACGAAAGCGAAAGAATTATTCTTTAAAACAGTAAATTCAAATTTTCTAATATATATGAATATAACCATTTATTTAACTCATTTTTCAATTTGCTGCAATACCTTCACGTTTTTTTAAATTAATCGATTACCACTTGTGATAATAAAACAATTAAATACGCAAATTAAAGACAAAAATCCAACTTTTTCAATGAGCTAACTGCTGGCATTGTGAATTGATCTTTTCTAAAGCTCATACCAGGCTCGACAACAACACGAAGATGTAAGTAGGCTCGTTGGAAAAGTGAACATTCAGCTTTCATATGAGTCGTCAATGATGTAATTACCTTTAGGGGTTGTTGAGAAATTCACGAAAAACCGAAAACACTGAAAAAAAAAAACGATAAAACCATAATTTCTCTGTTATGTATAACACGTTAAGTATGTGTTTTTTTTTTCAATTTCTACAGCTCATATAGCAGGCGACTCGATGACAGCACGAAGATGTTTGTAGGCTTGTTGGAAAGGCAAAATATTCAGCTTTCATAAGAGTGGTCGATGATGTAACTATATTAAGGATTTGTCGAGAAAATCACGATAAAACTGTAAAAACTGAATAAAAAACATGATATAAATGTTCTTCAGCTTATAACAGACGACTCGATGAAACTACAAAGATGTATGTAGGCGCGTTGGAAAGGTGAGGTATTCAGCTTTCATATGAGTGGTCGATGATGTAATTATCTTAAGGGGTAAAAAAAACTGTAAATACGTAATTTTTCTAGTATTATACATATACCGTATTAAAATAAAATGCTCTGCAAACGATGGTTAGATTTCTGCCATGTCCCTTGGGATCTGAAAAAGGGCATGGCGTGGTTTGGCTTACAGCATATGGACTTCCAGCCAAGTCGATTGACAATAATAGTGTTAAGGATAGCAGCAGATACACAGACAAAGGGAATAGTGAAATCGCAAAGCATCAATATTCTATTGACGTAAAAACTTGGAAAGTTTACCAAAAACAAATGTCAACCGCCATAAGATTTTCTTAATGTTCACAGGAATAGATTGTAACGACATTTAAAAAAAAATATAAGTTTTAATTATAACAAATAAACGTGTTCAAAAATTAATATATTTCGTCATGGAAATTATTCGATTACAATTGTTTATTAATAACGCAATAAACATAATATTTCAAGAAAAAAAAATATAATAATATACAATTCTAATGTAGAAAAGTAAGTCATCAAAATTTTTACTGGGTTTTTCAGAAATAAATTCATTATTTCCTGAATCTCTGTATATTATTGGTCTTAATTTATAAATATTAAGGATCTTTTTCATGCCATTGTCGTCTCTTATATGGTATAACTCTATAATCAATTGTAACTCGGTTTTTGATGGGAATACTGCAGTACAGGCAGTTCTTCATATATTGTGAACAATCGGAACAAGCAGGTGTGTGATTACAAGGTTCCAAACGTATGTTATTATCTGTAAACTGTGAGCAGAATTTACATTCAACAAGAGGTTTATAACGTTTCAATAAATTCAATTCATTTGAATTATCAACCAAATTTAATGCAGTTTCATCTTTTGAGTTAATCGCAAATATGTTGATACCCTTTTGAATTAAATAACATGCAATAGCAAATTGTAGTCTACAGTCTGAAATAAAACTTATTGCATTATAAATAGCATATATTTTAGAACGTTCGTTTGGGAAAATTTGTGTTGTAGTATTGTGTCTATTAGATAATATTATATGTAATAGAGTATTTCTATGTACATCTGTTACATTTATATTAACATTCTTTTCAACGATCATTTCTATAAGGTTGATATTACATTTGGAAACTGCTTGAAATAATAGACTATAGCCAAAATCATTATCTAAGTCTACTCGGGGATCATTGCAAAGAAGGTTCATAATTTTAAATAAATTCATTTCAATAGCAATATGCAGTGCTGTCTTATCCTCTCTATCTCTCACATTTGGATCGGCATTTGCAGCTAACAGAATTCTGACACTCTCTTCATTGCTACTGAGTACGGCACTATGTAGAGGTGTGAAACCTTTCTGATTCATTACGTTTACATCAGCACCAGAACATACAAGCAAGTCAACAAAATTGGGATATTTCTTAGCGGCTTTATGTAGAGGCGTATTCCCATTAAAATCTTTACCATTGGGATCAGCACCTGCATTTAGCAAAATTATAAAGTTCTGTTCACGTTGTCTATTAATAGCAATGCGGATAGGTGTATACCCACGATTGTTAAATGTATTCAAATCTGCACCTGACTTTACTAGCAGTTCCAGTAACTGGGATTCCGTTTTGACAGCGTCATGTAATGCTGTATTACCCTTAAAATCCTTGTATCTAGTATCGGCGCCTGCTTTCAGCAAAATTTCCACAGAATGTATACATTCCGTACGTACGGCAGTGTGTAAAGCTGTCAACCCTTGCTTATTATGCACATTTAAAAGTGCACCTGCCGATATAAGTATTTCGAGACAACTAGGATCATTTTCAACAGCTTTGTGTAAAGTTGTATTTCCATTCCAATCATTGCAGTTCGGGTCTGCCTTTGCACTAAGCAGGGTTTGCACACAGTAAGTTGACTTCTTAACAATTGCCAAATGGAGAGGAGTATAACCTAATTTATTAGGCATATTTAAATTTACACCAGCCATGATTAGAGTTGCAACAAAGTTAGGAGACTTCTCAATAAATAAGTTTTCAAACTGTCTCATATATTTGCAGTTAAAAATTGGAGTTGAGTTAACGCAAATTTTAACAGGTTGAGTCGAGTATTTTTGAACGTCGAAATGAATAGCATTACAGTATACATCATCATATGTTTCGGACTCACTTTTTATTGCGAAATCAAAATAATCCGGAATATTCATTATAGCATTATGTAAAGCTGTATTCCCACTCGAATCTTTGAAATTTGGATCAGCATTTTCTGCTAATAGTATATTAACAGCAATCTCGTTATGATTTTTAATAGCTATGTTAAGAGCATTGTAGCCCTCTTCATTTGGAATATTCAAATTGGAGCCTGCTTTAATTAATAAATTAAGAACATCTGAAGATACTTTAATAGCATCATGGAAAGCTGTACTACCATTGACGTTGGTGATATTACTGTTTGCACCAGCGGATAACAGTATTTTAGCACTTTCTATATAATTGTTTAGTATGGCACAGTGAAGTGCCGTACATCCTTCGTTGTTCCGCGTATCCAACTTGATACCAGCATTTATAAACATACTTAAAATATCTGTATAATCTCCAAAAACAGCGTAATGTAATAAAGTATCTCCGTCGTTATCTTGGACTGATAGGTTTGCACCTTCATAAATCATCTTTTTCACAATTTCTACCTTACCTAACATTGTAGCCACATGTATGTCAGATTTACCATAACTTTCTAGAGTCTTAAAAATAATAATTCATTAAACTAAGAACGACTAAATAAAAAATATTTACCACATCCATATTCCACTCTAAACCTTCTGGCCTATTTTTTATGATCTCTCCTAAAATTTAAGCATATATATACATATATATGATCGTATTAAGATTATACATACCTAAACTTTTCAAGTGGCCCAACGTAAATATCTCTTTGAATTTGGTATTTTTCGCCAATTTGTCAACATCTCTTACAACTTTGAAGATGCGAAACAACTCTTGTTTGAAAGTTTTATCCAGCAGTATGTCGACTCTGATATAAAAATATTTATTAATTATATTTATAGAAGCAGAACAAATACAAATTTAAAATACTTTAGTCAAAGATAACTTTAACTATAAAATTAAGTACAGCTTTAACTTTATGTGATATTAATTTATTTACAGTTACATTTAATAACTTACTTGTTGCATATATTACATATATAAATTAACGTTGTTTTATACTGGTAACATGAGCAGCAATAATGGTCCTTATAACAAATAATACATTTCACGAAGCAACAATGTTTTCTTGATGGATTGTAATTAGTACAATCTTTAATTAATTTATCTTTATTACATGTTTTGTAAGTTCCGTGTTTCCATTTTAAAACCAACTTATTATTGTGTGGAAGAAAAAATTGGTACAACAAACCAACTTTTTTTTTTCTGCCATCTGAAAATAAAAATCTATAATTTAATTGTGAGTAATAATTGAAATAATATTTTTCTAATAAATTATTTTTACAACTATAAAAATAATTATTATTAATAATACAGTCAAACATACAATAATAATATTTTATTGGCCATACATCAATACAAAAAAAATGATACAACTTTCAAAATGGATGCCAAAAAAAATGCCAATAGGCTTGTTGGAAAGCTTTCATATGAGTGGTCAATGATGTAATTATCTTAAGGGGTTGTCGAGAAATCCACAATAAACTGAAAAGAGTGAAAAGAAACGTCGTTTCTCTGTTTTTTCAATTTCTGCAGCTCATAGCAGGCGACTCGATGACAGTACCAAAATGCCAATAGGCTCGTTGGAAAGGTGAAACATTCAGCTTTCTTGCGAGTGGTCGATGATGAAATTATCTTAAGGGGTTGTCGAGAAATCCACGATAAACTGAAAAGAGTGAAAAAAACAAGAGAAAATTGTCTTTTCTCTGTTACGTATAAAATGTTAAGAATGTGTTTATGTTCTTCAATTTCTACAGCTTATAGCAGGTGACTCGACGACAGCACTTAGATGTATGTATACTTGTTGGAAAGGAAATATTTAGCTTTCATACGAATGGTCGATGATATAATTATCTTAAGGGGTTGTTGAGAAATTCACGAAAAACTGTA